CTGTAATTGAAAAAAATATGTATAAATAATACTTCTGTTTTATGTACACATATTACTTTGCTAACCTAGAAAAAATAAAAATAATAAAGTAAAAGTTAGTTTAAACATACTTTATGAAAGATAAACATAACAATTTTTAAAGTGACTTTTATCATATATCAATATGAATATCTTACAAAATTAGAAATTTTAAAGGAAAAATAAACTTTTCACCTTAAAATTACTAAAACTTGTCCATGAACCTCATCGCATTTTATAGTAGAAGTCATAAAAAGTCAGTATGCTTCAAAAGAGGGAATCATAATGATACACTGATGGTAATATTTTTATGTATTTCCAAAATCACAATGCTAATGATAATTCTTCACTATTGCATCTTTAGCAAAATGCTTTGCTCTAAATACATATAAAAACAAAGAGTGCAGCATGATAAAGCAAAGTTAGTAAAGATGAAAGAAGGAAAAATCTAGCTTGAGTCCCTTCAAGACATTAATTTCATGTTCCTTGTCATCTGGTAATTTTATGCTATTCAATACTTTACTTGTTTAATGACTAATATCTTTAGGAGTCACTTAATAATTAGTAGTAATTTAGCTTTTCAACGAATCTGATCTAAAAATATTACTTTTTAAAATTATAAATAATTCCTATGTAGCTTATCATTTAAAAATTTTCAGTGACTTTTGGGAAAATTAGGCCTATTTGGGAATCACATTACTTGGGAATTTTATTTAGATTTTGTAAAACAATGATTTTGATTAAGTAATTATCTTTTTTAAAAATATAGCTACATTTTTAAAAACCAGACTTTCTATCATATTACCAAAAGATAATAATTATCACTATAGTCACATGAATACTTACAACAACGTACTGTGTTTATATAAAGTACAGGCATTATAGTTACATTTGTATTGAAACATGCAGCCATAAAAGCCAGTGCATAAAAATATAATTTTTAATTTATTAAATCACAATCAAATATGATCTTAAGAAATATAAAATCAATATAGTATTGTTCATGCACTCTAAAGTTAAAATATAGATACTAACATTTTGAATTACATTTTGGTAGAACAAAGATACATTTGGCACTGTTTTGATAGATCAAAAGTTGTGAACATTAAGACTGTATAATTGTTTCATTGACAGAGAACTGAAGTAACTGCTATTCTGTTTGAGACCATTAAAATGGGTAGCTTGATGTTTGAACAAGAATTTAGTTGAGGTATTGTATGAAATATTTCATAAGTGACACTGGATCAAGTATATATATATATATATATATATATATATATATATATACTAACTTTAAAAGAGAGATTTGGAGAAGAGTAGTTTAAAGAAATGCAGGAATGCATTTTTGGTAATGTTTTTCTTGAAAAGCATTGTAAGCATAAATGCAAATACTGTATTGGGTCACCTCATAAATACACACAACCCACTCATTTTTATCCACACACACAATTATACTCATGACAGAATTTCATTTCATTCTGATTTGTCTACATAATCCTTTTATTTTATTGAAAAAAATCTAAATTTTCTAAAAGTAGTTATTAGGAACATCAGATATATGCATCATTATTCACTGATTATGTAAACTTAGTTTTTAGATGTCAACTATAAATATTTTAACATTGGCTCATTTGATAATTACGTTCAAAATTTCATTTTTGTAGAAAATTATTTGTTTGAAATGCTGTTTGCTAAAGTTTTACAATTAGACAGTTAAACCACGATTGCATTCACCCCAATAATAAAAGATAAATTACAATTAACCTGATATTTTATCCTATGCACAATATTGAGAATATTTAGTTGTAAGGATTTAAATATCTGGATTTTAAAGAAGATTCTATTTTATAAATAAACATTTCTTTTCAAAAATGTTTACAATAAAATACTGTTGAAGACATTTGTATACTGGCAAATTATGTTTTAACAGAATTTTTAAGGCAGAAGTATATCAAGTAGTTTAAGAGCAAATTCCAAAGCGTTGTTCTTAAAGTATTTTAATTTTTATATCATTGTTAATTTGCTCAATGCAATGAATACATAATTAGAGCATGGCAAAAGAACAGACCATGAAAAGCTAATTTGGGGAACTATTTTATAGTCGGTAATTAAAGGGCATGGTAATACATAATTTTTCAGTAGGATCTGTGAACATATTAAATTCTACTGTACTATATACAAAAACTGCACCCACAGTTTTTATTTGTATTTATTTTTTTAAAAGACCCACATTTTGGGACTGGTTCTAGTCTTCTGAAAGAACTTTCAAATTTGTGGGCATAATACTTACATGATTGGATACTGGTTTGTTTTTCTTCTTTTTATTTTTCCCTTAAATCATTTTTTTCTTTCTTATCAACATTCAGAAGGAGCCCAGATAGTGTAATGGTTAAGGTGCTTGGCTTCACATCAAAAGCTCAGCACTCTGAACCTAACAGCAGAAAGGTAGGGCAATCTGCTTCTATAAAGATTTACATCCTTGGGAACCCGATAGGATTGCTGGACATCAGAATCAACTAAATGTCAATGAGTTTGATTTTGGTTTATAAATATTCAAAAATTCTGATAATGTATATTTCAGAAGTGGCATGTCACCTTTTCATAAAATGAATGATCGTCTCTAAATTCTTTACATATCAAAGAATTAAACGATATAGATGTTAAGGATGTTTTTATGCAATAATTCCTTTCCCCTGGATTCTAACCTTTCTCATTTAAAATAATCAAACTTTAAAAATCTGTAAGCCATAATTACTGTTTCATCAAATATTCATGTGATTCTAGAATTTTGTTGACTTGACTACATTTGTTCACATATAACAAAATAAAGGTATGGTATGTTTGAAATCCTGGTATGGAGCCATAGGATAAACACTTGACAGCTTACCACAAGGTCAGTGGTTCAAACTCAACAGCAGTTCCTCGGAACCCCAATACAGGGTTCACTATGAGTCGGAATCTACCGGATGGCATTTAGCAACAACAACACATAATTTAAGAGCGGCATTCATGGTTGCATCTGACTATTTAAAAAATCAAAGTGCAGCATTACCTAACCTTAGAAAAAAACGGCTATCCTGAATAAGATTAATGACCTTAAAAGGTTAAAAGAAATATAAATAAAAAAATATTAAATTTCAAATTTGAAAAATATGAATATAAAATAGCTCAGCTAAGAAACATATTATCTTTTTTTTTTTTTTACCATAAGGAATTAAAAAAATACCTCTTAGATTTACATTGTCTTTTCCCCTGGAAAAAACTCTATTTGCACACTTAATTTTCTATGAAGACAGACATAAATCAGGCCCTCTTAAAAGTTGATACATGAAAGAAAAATAATTCCTTTGAATACTATCATATACAGAGAATAATGTTCACTTTCCATTTTGTCAAACCAGGCCCAAGAAAACGTGAGACATCAGCATTGAAGCTTGGGACAATTAAATACAAGAGGGCTTCAAAAAGTTTGTGAGAAAAAAAAATCATTATGTTTTAATTCTATTTTTTTCCATGAACTTACTGAAGCTCCCACATATTGGGGGTGGGAAGACAAAAGGTTGTTAAGAAATGATTGATATAAGATTGTCTATTTGCTTTTTTCTCATCCATCCAACCTTTGATGGAAGGTTTATTGAATGACTTACTGTGACCCTGTGGTGGTAACTGGATATCAAGGATATATATGATGTAGTTTCTTCCTTTAAGGAACTTACAGATTAGTTAGAGAAAACATAAATATATTTAAGAGTGGAGGAAAATTTTATAGTGCTGACAGAGAAGTGTATAAAGGGTACAGAGGAGAAATACAGAGCAAAGTCTTAAGTTCTAACTAGGTAAGGAGAAGGGTAAGCAAATCTAAAAGACAGTGATCATTTTTACCTAAATGTATTTCATACTTGTTTCTTTAACTCTCAATATTTGTTGTTAAGTGCTGTCAAATCGGTTCTGACTCACAGTGACCTGTATAGAATTTCCAAGCACCCCGTGTGTTTGATTGGCGACCTGTGGTTTGCAGTCCAGTGCTGATCCTACAGCGCCATACTAACACTCAATATATGATCTTTTATTACCAGAGATTTCCATAAATTTGGTCTCTCATGGAGTTCCTATTTCAAACCTAAATCTACTGTAGTAACAATGAATTGCTGAAATAATGGCATTATTTTTAATGTAAAAAAAAAAAATCCAAAACCCAAAACCCAAGAGCAAAAAACTTTACTTGAATTTTCCTTATTCCTGGATTTATATTCTCTATCAAAAAACAAACAAACAAACAATGAGTTAAGCTCAGCAATATAATTATATTATTTTTAGTAACATCAAATGTTTCTTGAAAGGAAAAAAAAAACAACAACAACCTGAAGTGACTATTTATAACCACAGAAGAAGAATCACCCATGGGAATCCTATTAAAAATACTAAAATATCAAATAGGTAGATTTTAGTATTGACATGTCTCGAATTAAAAATAAACATTAAAACAAATTGGCAACTTTGACAAATAACAATCCCCAACTCATTATTGTCTTGTAGTTAAAGAAGAATGAGAGCTTCCTGTAGGTATATATTTTCATCATGAAAGGAAAATTACTGTACTATTTCATAAAATCATACCTTAAGTGCAAAGTAAGTTCCACTACAATTTGAGATACTTCAGTTAATAGCATGAATTATTTTATTTAGGGTTTTCATTACTGAAAGATTCTCTGGGCAAATTATTGAATGATGCAGAAAGTATCAAGATAAAATGGAAGGAATACAGGGTCACTGTACCAAAAGGAAATGGTTAATGATCAACCATTTCAAGAGATAGCATATGATCAAGAGCCAATGATACTGAAGGAGGAAGTCCAAGGTGCATTGAAGGAATTGGCAAACAACAAGGCACCGGGAATTGATGGAATAAAAATTGAAACCTTTCAAGAAAGTCAGGAGGCACTTACTCATATATGCCAAGAAATTTGGAAAACAACTACCTG